TTTCATCGCTACCGTTGCGCGTGCTTCGCGACTTCGCGACCTCGGAAGTTTGGCCAGCACGGTCCAGCATGATCTTCCTCCTCCTCCTCCTCCTCATCCTTCTCCTCCTCCTCTGCTTCCTGCTTACTCCTCCTCCTCCTCCTCCTCCTCCTCCTCCTCCTGCTCCTCCTCCTGATCCTCCTGCTGCCGCCTCCTGCTGCCGCCGCCTCTTCTTCCTCCTTCTCCTCCTCCTCGTCCTCCTCCTCCTCCTCTTCCTCCTCGCTCCTCTCTCCTCGTCCTCCTCGTCCTTGTCTTCGCCCCCATCATCATCTTCATCCTCTTCCTCTTCCCCATCATCGCTTCCCGTCGCTCCCCCTCATTTGGGATACTCGGACCCTGTGCGGATCCAGAGATTCGGACATTGTCCGAGGTTTTCGGAGGTTTTTGGAGGCTTTGGGATGCTCTCCAGCATTTGAGCCTCGCCTCTCCAGCGTTCGTGCCTCGCCGAAAGCAGTCTGGAGGTGCCCAGATCGTACCGATCGTGGAAATCCGGGTTAGGACCCGAAAGCCACAAGCGAATACCCCGACTCCGGATCCGCCGTACTTTGGGTGGATTTCCGACCGAACAAATATTATGTAGGAAATGCGCCCAAAAACATGCGAGGCATTAGGACGGGGGTCTCCGCCACAGGGGGGTGGGGCGCGGATGTTTTCGCTGAGGTCTGGCGGAAACATCGACGGCAAAGCAGGACGAAATTCGACGCCAAAGGAGATTTAAACGTAGGGCAGAAAGTTCCGCCCGAATTCCGAACTTATCCAACGTATGGCAGATCCGGAGTTAAGGCTCCTCCTTGGCAAATAAGGGTTAACGTAAGGGGCAACGTTAAGGGGCAACGCTTTCCTTGACTTGGGGTTGCCGTACTTTGGGCGATCTCGCAAGTACAGTCAAACACCCTAATAAGGACGCGCGACTTTGCTCAGGGTACCCTTGCGTCCTTGCTCTTCCTTGCTCTTGCGTCCTTGGGGTTTTCGTCGTCCGCCGCCCCAAAAATCCCAACTTCGGTTTCCAAGGGTCTTGCGTCCTTACCGCGCGTCCTTATTAGTGTTTTTGACTGTAGAGTGGGAGTTCCCACCCTGCTTTTCAAGCTCCTTTGATGCCGATTCTCGCCCTATTTTGCCGCCGCTGTTTTCGCCACTTCTTTGCTTTTACACTGTTCGGGGTGCACTTCCGACACTCTCCAGCTGCCTTCGGCAATTCCAGGTGGCCTCTTGAGGGGCAGGTACGGCACTATCCGCAGTATTCCGGGTGGCAACTATTCTAGAAGACAAGAGGGTCTGTTGGGGGCCTCTTGGGGCAGAATGCTCGAATGCTTGGTTCGTAGTCTCACTCTTGAGCCTTGGGTCCGTCTTGGTGCCCTCTTGGACGCCTCTTGGGCCGTCTCGGAACCCTCTTGGGCCGTCTAGGAGCTCGTTCGGGGGGGGGGCCTCTTGAGCCGTCGCGGGAGAGTTTTGGGGGCCTCTTGGGCCGCCTTGGAGCGTCGGAAGCTCGAGAAGGCGAGAACCCCAGAAACACGTCACGGGACATCAGTGGTGTGTGTGTGTGTGTGTGCCTCTCGGGGCCTTGTTAGGGGGCCTTTTCTGGCCCTCTTGGGGCCTACTGAACCCTCTTGGGGCAGAAGGCTCCTCTTGGGCCCTTTCTCCTCCTCCTCCTCCTCCTCCTCCTCCTCCTACTCCCCCTCCCTTTTCCTCCCTTCTCCTCCTCCTCCTCCTCCTCCTCCTCCTCCTCGTCCTCCTCCTCCTCCTCGTCCTCCTTATCCTTCTTCTCCTCCTCCTCCTCCTCCTCCTCCTCCTCCTCCTTCTCCTCGTTTTCCTCCTTCTCCTCCTTCTTCTCGTGGGTTCGTGGTCACCCTCTTGGGCCCTGTTAGTGGCCCTCTTGGGACTCTTGGACATTCTTGGGCGCCCCACGGGCCGTCCAGGAGTCTCGGGGTCCTCTTGGGGGCTTCTTGGGCCGTCTTGAGATGGTCCTGGTGGCCTTTTAGGTCGACTTGAGACGCCGGAAGTTCGGAAAGGGGAGAAACCGACAAACTATGAGAACTGGACACCTCTCGAGGCCCTTTTGGGAAGGCTCTTGGGGCTCTCTACTCTAGAGCGAGCTGAGGGACGTAAGGAGCGGAAGCGAGCGTGCGCCCGCGGCCGCGTCGGCTCAAGCGGCCGGCCGCCCAAAGAAATATTGCGCCTCATCGCGAGGCACACAATCGCTATCGAGACCAAAAGGATCTCCCTATTGCTTAAGATGGCACATACTCTCCTACTGGGACTATCGTTACTACGGTACAACAGAGCTGGAGCTTGGCTTCGCCTAAGGCGAAGCTGCTGGCTGGGCCTCCCAGCCCCCTTCAAACTTGGTAGCGGAGCTGGCGTATGGTGGTAAGCTCTAGCTCTACTCCTTACCATCCACGGCACTATCTGGTGGATTATGGATATGGTGGAACATCCGGGTGCAGTGGGCTTGCGCGGAGGA